AGCGAACATTACATTTATTGGATGAATAACTTAATTTATTTTAAATTATTATCCCTGATATTGCTATGATTACAGCTTCAATTGCAGTGATCTGCGCATGACGCAAGATATTGAAAAAGCAACAAAATTATTAGCTCAAGAATTGCTTGTTCCAGTGTTTATGGCACCTTTTGTTATTGGATACTATACTTTTTTAACATATGAAAGGTTAGTTTTTGGGTATTTAAGAATTTCTTCTTGAAATCGAAAAATGTTAGCAAATATTTCATATACTTTTAGGGGATTAAAGATAGGTAGATTAACATACTGATTTTTATATCTTTCTTCAACTAATTAAGTAAAATAAGAACTGAGATCATCTTCAGAAAATTTTTCAAAAAATTGTTGATTAATTCAGAGCCATTTTCAAAGTTTTTTCTGGAGGAAATTAAAAAAAGATTTTTCAAGTTTGTATTATCTGGTTTGGCCTTGAATTCATGAACAACTTTTTTTCCAAATATTTAAAAAATTCTAAGAAAGTTTTTTTTAATTGTAAATTGTGTGTGAAATTATTAGTTTTGACAAAAATATATATAAATTTTTGGAATCAATTTTTTCTGAGATTTTAGCTCGGGATATCTTGGACCATTGACCATTTATACATATTTCACGTTTGCAACTGTGATTAACCGACTTTTACTTTCTCCAGCCGTATCACTGATTAATGAGCAAGTCAAAAAAGAAGATGAATTTAGGTTGATATTTTTGTTGTACCATTCATTTTTGTCAATTTTTTTTGCAGTAATTTTCATTTCATTGACATTTATTTATTGCAATAAGTAGATTTTTTTTAATTTTAACCAATTTTTAATCTGTTTTGGAAGTATAAATGGCAAGCTGTAAGTAAGTAATACTTTTTGTTCATTTAAAGGTTACGTCATCTACAAGTCCGTATTAATGCTGAATCAATAGCATTTTATCAGTCGGGATTAATTGAAAATGTATTAACCAATAAAAAGTTGAAATCATTGATCAGAACTCAAAAAAAGTTGGTGGAATGGCGTTTTGCGTTAAACTGTACGTATTATTTTCATCCACCAAAATATTGATATTTAGATGAACCCCATAAACTCAGTAAAAGGTTAAAAAAACTTGTAAAGAGCAGTAAATTGAGAATATTTTTTATTACGATTTCTTATCTAATAAATGAAATTATCATTAATTTTCTATTTTAGTAGTAACAACTGCTTTTGATTATTTTGGAGGAACATTAAGTTATCTAATTATATCAGCTCCCATATTTCTTACCCATAATTACGATGAGTTAACTGGCATTGAACTTTCCGGTGTTATCAGTCGGGTAAATATTGAAATTAGAAAATTTGTTTTGTTTTTTTAGTATCAATTTTACGTACTGTTGATGTTTTGTAATTACTAGGAGTTATTAATTTTGATATATTAAGGTAGTTAATTTTTTTGACAGAATAATTGGTAAAGTACAAAAGACATTTAAAATTATAACTGTAGCATTGTTTTGAAGCACTTGAACTAGTATCTAAGTTTAAAAAAGGTATTTAGTGATTCCATCACTTTATATTCAGACTTTAATTTTAGGACTACTACAATATTAGCGATTATTAGAATCTTTCGTTAATATTAGTTAGACTGTTTAGTTTCAAACAAATTCGATATTATTACGTAATATATAAGAGGATTTATTATAATTTTTCAATGTTTGGTGAATTACTAAGTACGTTTTCAAACTTTATGATTATTGTTATTAGTATTTTTAGCAATAAGAATAGTATGTAAGCGCTTTTTGCTTTTAAACATTCATTTCGGATATAATAATTAAGAATAGAGCGTTCTGCAAGTAATATTTGAAGATTTAACGATATGAATTTTATTTACAGAATGCATTTTATTATTTATATTTGATCTACAATTTTACTCGTTTGATTGCACTTTCGGAGGTAATCGGTGAAATGGCTGGAGTAACTCATAGGTAAGTAAATTATCATATATTTGTTCAGTACTGTCTTATAAATGTAGTTTATCAGCAGTTATTTTCATTTTGCAGTCGTCAACTTTTAATCAAAGCTAATCAAGCTTACTTTTTTTCAGTTACGGCTTCTTATTATTTTCAGAATTATTGGATTATATGAAGAACTGGTAAGATTGCATATTGACAGATTAGAAATAGATCGACCGCCATCGACTGTTCCATCTTCAGTGGTGATAATTGCTTCAGATGATTCTGAAAAAGCAAATGCTATTCCGAATCGAAAGGTGAGTTAAAAGGTTATTTGAGTGAAATAAGCAAACTTTCATGCTGATTATTTTTTATTCACCTTAACTTTTTTAAATATAGGATATTATTAGTAAGAATAAATAAAAGTAAGAAAAAATGTTCAGATTGAAGAGTTATATGGCAAACAGGGACACTTACTGGAACTTGAACCAGATGATGAAGAAGTTGAATTTCTTTTACAGCGGTAAGATAATTATATTTGCTTTTATTACTTATTTTAACAATATCAAATTTTGCAGGTATGAATCAAATTAATCGAGTTAAAGCAATTTCAGAGCAGAAGAAGGTCGTGATAGAGAAGATCCAGAATGGCCTGATGATGGTATTGCTATGACACTTGATTCAGTAACCATTGCACATCCAAATGATTCATCATTACTTTTGATCTCTAGTAAGTTATTCAGTGATTGATTAATCATTTATACAATCAAAGTTAATTTGGTAAGTCATTATGATCAGTTTATAAAAAATTTTGTTTGAAATATGTAATTGTGTTTCCAGATTTATCGATGCAACTCATTGAAGGTAAAAATTTACTGATTACTGGTGATAGTCATGTTGGAAAAACTTCACTGTTAAGAGTATTTGCTGGATTTTGGAAATGTGTTACTGGTTAGTATTTAAATAAAGTGCACTCATTGATTTTTAATAAGTGATCAATGGTATATTCATAGTTGATATTATTAAATCAAAATTACTGATTAGTTTATTTTTTGCTTTTTCTATTTTGTATTGTTGTTCCTGTATTTTTCAATGATTACATACAGTTTTAAGTATTATAAATTCTTAATTTCAAGGTAAACTGGAAAGGCATTGGAAGATGAGTCCAGTAACATTCTACTTTGTTCCACAAAAGATGCATTTTCCAAATGGTGGCTGTAGTTTGCGTCAGCAGTTGGTTTATCCGTTAAAAGCTTTATCTCTTGAAAAAGGTAGTTGATTTCATGCTTTTTATTGGAATAAATATTTAACATACTGTAATAATTTATCTCATATGTGAAATTTGTAAAGTGAATTTTAAAATAATGCTGTAATCAATGTTTTTTTTAAAGTGTTTTTTCAAAGTGAGAAATTACTTTTCTTATGTATTTGGAGAAAGTTTTCAGAAGCAGCACGTCTAGCGCAAATTTTAGAATGGGTGAAGTTGGAATATTTGTTGCAGCGTTGTAATGGTTTGGATACACCAGTGGAATGGAATTGGTAAATGCTATCAACTATCGTTATATAATCATTTATTTCTAAATTATCATTATTTTTACTCACTTAACTTTATTTTGATTCTTATTTATCAATATTAGTGTATTTAGTAATATAAAAGTTGAATGTGTAAAATACTTAACTTGCTTGAGTTTTTTTACTTATTTAAAGTACATCTAGCAAGTTTACAATTATCATTAGGATATCTGGATAATTTAAAGTCTGCACTTGCAAGACAAGAAAAACGCTTTATCTTATATTTCAGGTCAGAAACGCTCTCACCAAGTGAGCTACAAAGACTTTCATTTGGTCGAGTTTTGTATCACAGACCTCGGATAGTTTTTTTAGATGAAGCAACTAGCGCTGTTGGCTTTGAAATGGAAATGTCACTTTACCGTTTGCTCAAAGAAGTTAGATTTTATAGAATTAAAAAAAACTTGAAATCCTTCATTCTTTTTCAACTACTAAAAGTTATAGTATGTAACACTTTTTTAGCTGTTTATTATTTAGAACTACTTATTATTTGGAGGCATATGAAAGATAATGGCTGAAAATAAGTAAATTGATATGATTGATTAATTAGCGCCATTTTTGCCCGTAGTCTGAGGGTTTTTTTTTGAATTTTCAGGAGCGTATTTCATACGTTTCAATAGGACATCGATTCTCATTGAAGCAATATCATGATATGGAATTGCATCTGAATGGCCATGGTGAATGGACGTTAAATGATATCGAATCAATGAGTATTCATAGTCGTCCTGCAAGTTTTATTAATAATTAAGGTGCGATGTCACTGTGGTTATAACTTGATATATTGATATATTGCTTTGTTTCTTGACATTTTTATATTTTTGAGAAATGCTAAAAAAAATTTAGTATTCGATCTCACTGTTAAATTGCTAATGCAAGACATGGAAGTGGTTGGGTACATTGAATTTCATTGGAGATGGTAAAACTGGAATTATTTCAGTTCAGTAATTTTTGTTGTTTATTTTTCCATTAAATCTATAATTTTAATATCTTTTTGTACATTAAATATGATGAGCATTGATGTTTATTGTTGGTGCTTCATAATTTTTGATTTTTCGCATATAGTTTCATTCGCGCAGGTCTTTGAAAATTCTTGTGTTATATTTTTCATATCAACTATAGCATTTATACTTAACATTTTTTTCGCATTTAAACTTAATTTACTGCACTGATGTGTGTGTTTTGCTTTTGTGTACTTCTGATTGTAAATAAATAGAATTTGCAAGTCACGCTAATATTTTCGTTAAATCTCAATTTGATGTCTATTATTATCAGACTAAGGCTACGCTTAAGCTAAGCAAGCATTGGAATCATTATAAAGTGATGCTAATGTTGAATGATATTTTTGCATTGTTCTTGTTTATTTGTGTGAAGATTGGTTTTGGCTTATTGCTAAAATGTAAGCTAGTAGCATATTGATAATACGTGGAATGGAATGGAATGGAATGGAATGGAATGGAATGGAATTCCGTTTGTTTGTTGTTTTGTTAAAATTTCTGAAAGAGTCGTCAAAATGACGCATATTATTTCAGGGTAAATTAGGATATGGTTTTTAAATTGAATTTAGGGTTGTACTTTTAAAAATGTTTAGATTTTTATCCACATTTTATTCAATTACTTTGGTTAATCGAATTTAATGCTAGCTAACGTCAAATTGACGAATGAACGCTGTAGATAAAAATTGAACATTAGAAGTGAAGGTTGTATCAGGAATAAGTATTGTGAATACTATTTATTTTCAGTCTTGACTAGAAGAAATTCCTAGTTTCTTATTTTTGTATCTCCAAGAAGTCTGATATTAGTAATATCCGAGCTGATCATTATAAGAGATCATAAATTTGATGGAAAGTAAATACGTGTAACGGAATAAAAATCATAATCATTCATGGCATTCTCATGTTTTCTGCGATTTGATAACTCATTTATAATGATTGTATTGATAAAACCAATCGTAATCTTAATGATAGAAATAAAATAATTTTACAGTATTGTTAATAAGTGTTCGGACGATATTACAAAAGCATTGGAACAGTTTAAAGTGTTGGCAAATTAGAAATCTGATGGTCTCTCTTACTCTGATTAATCAATTTTTTACTACCATTGAGACTTTCCTTGATAAGCTTGCTAATTAGTGTTTATGAATTTTATGATTAAAATTAACTTTATTGATTATTTAAATAAATTTGAAAGTAAAGTGAGATCATGAAAATAATGATTGATGAAGTAATGACTGTATAAATTAGCTTCGAAGTAGTCTATGCAGTTAGCTCACTGACTTTAAATCATTTTATAAGCAATAAATTAGCTTTACGACTTTTTATAACTCTTTGATAGTTCGTAAATTAAATACCATTGTTTTTGCTCATGACTGTAAATAAATAAAAATATGAATATAAGTCATATTTATTAGAAGCGACGTGAAGTAATCCTGATTGAGGTTGGCATCACTACTCAGGACAGGTTGACAGCAGTCAAGACCGAGAAGAAGGGAAAATATGACCTACTTGCTAATAAGCTTGGATCAGAGATGAACTGCA